CCCCAAAACCCCAAAACCCCAAAACCCCAAAACCCCAAAATTTTTCAAAATGTTGATATAATCCTAAAAATGAACTCAAATGTTATAATCCTTGAGAACAAGTACAAACTAATGAAACAAATCGGGAAAGGGGCTTTTGGGGAAGTCTACATGGCTCAAGACATAGAAAATGGGCAAGAATACGCTGTCAAGGTCGAATCCAAATCAGCCAAGTACCCTCAGCTCAACTATGAATATAAAGTTATGAGGCTTCTAGCCGACTGCATTGGGATCCCTAGTGTTTATTGGTGAGGAGAGGTGGACGATAAGGTAGCAATGGTCATGGACAAGTTCGGACCGTCACTGGAAGAAATATTTGTTTACTGTAAGAGAAAATTTTCATGAAAGACAGTTTGAATGATTGCTGATCAACTAATACAGAGGATTGAATATCTTCATTCCAGGTTTTTCATACATAGGGATGTCAAGCCTGACAACTTCCTTGTTGGAAGAACTAATGAAACTAGACAATACCTCTATATGATTGATTATGGACTAGCTAAAAGATATAGAGATCCGAAAACTCTAGAACACATTCCATATCGAAACGATAAAAACTTAACAGGTGAGTATTTATTCTCTTCACCCTCTAAAATCTAAATAGGGACTGTTAGGTATGCTAGCACCCACACGCATAATGGAATTGAACAAGCTAGAAGGGACGATCTTGAGTCTCTTGGTTTCATACTTGTCTATTTCTTCAATGGTTCCTTGCCTTGGCAAGGAATCAAAGCTCAAACGAAGAAAGAGAAATATGAAAAAATAAAAGAGTCTAAAACCTCTACTACTTCAGCAAGTCTTTGTGAAGGACTTCCTGAAGAATTCGAGACATATTTTGACACTGTGAGAGACCTCAGTTTCGAAGAAAGACCTGACTACACCCTTCTCAGGAACCTGTTCAAACAAGTGATGAGGAACAAAGACTATGAATATGATTTTATATTTGACTGGATGGTTCCAAGTTAACTCACTTTCAATTTTTCACAACTCTAAAGGGGTTTTGGGGTTTTGGGGTTTTGGGGTTTTGGGGTTTTGGGG